CTAATCATGCCGTCCCTCCCCTGCCTGCTTCGTCGATACGTGCGTGGGTGTGGGGGGTACGTTTCAACCGCAGTGGCCGAGTGGCCCTTCGCCATGACCTTGCAATCTTAATGCCGGTCGCAGTGCCGCGAAGTAGCATCGGGGGAGGTCGTCCAATTCCCTGGTCACCGGAAACTGTGAAAGTTATCCCAATACGGGCTTCTCGGATTAAAACCGGTCAGCCAGGTGACCTCCCCTCGGAGCTCTATGGGGGGGGGGGGGGGGGAAATGCGTGCGGGTGTGTTCATGTGAGGTGAGGCGAGGGGGGCGCGGGGTTGGCTCCGTCGCTTGGTGGTGGCGAGGTCGTAGCTAGGGCACCTGCTGAACGGCTTCGTGGCGGTGGCGGCATCACAACAGCACTTGCGCCAACAGTCTGTTACAGGCTACACGGGGGATCTTTGTCTTTGCGTGTGTGCAGAGAGGTTGCGCAGTGCGTGGGACCGCTGGGCCGAGGCAGCTCACCTGGCCGCGAAGGACGCGCGCCGCCAGGCCATGGAGGGCCTGCCCACAGCCCTGGTCGCCGCGGTGACCGCTAACGAGACGCAGGACGCGCTGCAAGCGCTCGGAGGATGGGGCCAGGAGGTTCGCGGACACACGTGTGCACGCACGTGCAAGCACGCGCATGCACGCACACGAAGACAAAGATCCCCCGTGAAGCTCTAACAGACCGTTGGGGCAAGTGCTGTTAGCGAGCGGCGGCTGTTAAGACCGTCACGGCACACGAAGGGGTGGGTGGCCAACACTACGCCCGGCCAACTTTGTCTCACCACTGCTGATGGTCGTGAGCGGGAATGAACGTGGGGGCGTCTGGTTCGCAGCGCAGCACGTTAACCGCTGCGCTACACCGCATGTGTAGTGGTCGGTGTGTGTGTGTCGCACACAGTCGGAGACGAGGTCGTTGCAGGAGGCACCTTCTCTTTGATTCCGTTACACCACTCCGGCCGTTGGCATTCACATGGATTGCCGCCTCTCTCTCAACCACGTTGCCGTACACCCCGGTCGACACCATCGACCGAGACAGCCAACAACTGTCCGGCCGTGCAATTGTCGGGCGAAGGCAGCAGCGACGACGAGACGAGTCCACTCCCAGTACCGGCAGCCCTGAGCTCTTTCTCTCCGCTGCTTTTATTCTACTCGGCCAGGGCAGAGCCACGCCGCGCTTCCCTTCTCGAACCCACTAGCGGGTTCCAGGGGCTTCCAGATGAGGTCTTCCGTCACCTTTGCTCCAGTTTCTCCGCCCTTTCGGCACACACACCGTGTATGTGCTCGACGGCGTGTGCGCGAACTGTCCTCCGCAGTTGCCGCTGCTGGACAGCAGTCGGCGCTGTGTCACTACACAAGCACGCGGACGCATACCTGCTGTGTACTGTGTGTGCTATATGAACTGTGTGTGCTCTGTGAAGTGTGTGTGTGCTGTGTGTACTATGTAACGTGTGCTATATGCAGCCTGTGTACTGTGTTTTGTATACACTGTGTGCTGTGTGTACTGTGCGTGTGTGCAGGCCGTGACACACCTGACGACCTGGGCTCAGCGCCGTCTCATGCAGGCGGTGCGCAGCATCAGCCACCCCCTGCAGGGCGTCTATGAGCTGCAGCCACAGTGAGGCCACGGGGTCATGGGGTCATCACCCTCCTATCAGCCAAACATCCCATCACCTGGCTGCGGTGGCGAGATGTTGACTACCTCGCCTCGTATACGGGAGGTCGTGGGGTTCGATCCCGACCCTGACGCCTGCTGTGTATTTGAAGTTTGCGGTGTCTCTCTCCCCGTGGTCGTGTGAATTTTTCTCCGGGTCCTCCCGGTTTTTCCACTGCACGTTTAGAATCAACGTCACGCGCTTAACATGATTTGGCTGCTACGCATTCCCACGTGATGGGCCACTTCGTTAAGCTATCATTTGTGATGGCCAGGCCACCCTTGAAAAAGAGCTACGTAGCTCAGTGGGCTTCACCTGGTAACATAAAAACAAAACTTTAACACTGAATACCCTCCCATCGCACGCCGCAGCCCCTGTGTCTACTCTATCCCCTGCGTATTCCCTAACCCCTTTTGTATCTCCCTTATCCCCCTCCATCCCTCCTGACCCCTGTGCCTCCCCCTGACCCCTACGACCCCAACCATCTTCCCCCGTGCACCCCCTCTCCCCCAGCGAGCACCGGCTGTCTGCGTGGGTGCCGCTGGACGTGTCGATGGGCGCGCTGGCGCTGCGCGACGCCGCGCTGAGCAGCGACACGGCGCGGTGGCTGCGCTCGCTGAGCCCCAGCGCCGAGCTCTACCGCCTCAAGCACGAGCTGCTGGGGCAGCCGGCGCACGGTCCGTCGCCACCGCGGGCCGTCCCGCCAACACCACCACAGCTGCCCCCCCCTCACCGTCCCCTACATGAGAGAAGCCCCACCCCCGCCCCCCCTCCCTCCCACACTGTGCGTGTCTCCGCTGCGTGAGCAACCGCGTGTGTGTGTGTGTGGGGAGCGGTGGTGTAGCCTCAAATGAGTACCCGGTGTGGTGTGTAACCATCGCCGGCCTTCATAGGCGCTACTCGCTAACAGCACTTGCCCCCAACAGTCTGTTGAGGCTACACGGGGGGGGGGGGGGATCTTTGATCGTCGTGCCGAGTACCACGTTGGGGAGCGGTGGTGCGGCGGTCAGCGTGCCGCGCGACGAACGCGGCGGCCCCAACACGGCCGCGTGTGCCCCCTTTCCCCCGCCCCCCCCCAAACCGCCGTACCCCCCACAGCCCAGGCGATGCTGCTGAGCGGCGGGCGCCGCGTGCTGCAGTTCGACGGCCGCTGGCTGGCGCTGCCCGCGGGCTGCGCCGTGCTGCTTGCGCAGGACGTGCGCCCCGACGCCACGTTCCGCGTGGCGCTCGCGCCCAGACCCCCCCTCCCCGGGGACCCCTCGGAGGACCCCTCCCTGCTGGTGACCATGGGCCCCGTCACCCTGCTCATCCACGCCAACGGCACGGTGAGACCTCTCCCCACCCCATCTCAACCTCACTGGGTGAGTGCGGTGATGGTGGATCCCACAGAGATCCGGTGAGGGTGAGTAGGTGTGTGGTGTGGTGTGTGTCTGATGGTTTGTTTGGTGTGTATGGTGTATATATGGTGTTCGTGATGTGCGTGGGCTGTGTGTGTTGTACATGAGGTGTGTAGCAGTGACGTGCGGTGAGGTCAATGGCTGGGGAGGCATTGGCCGAGTGTCAGAGCCAGATTCACACACTGAAGGGGGCGTGGCCTCATGGAGGGGGGTGTGTCCTCACTGAGAGGGGCGTGTTAGACACGTCCCCCTCAGTGAGGACACACCCCCCTCCATGATAGCTGCCTCCCCTGGTGCTTTTTCATTGCAGTTTCATGACGAGACCAGCGAGCCTAAATATCTTTATACAGGTACGTGAAATAGGTTACCTGGAGTATGGAAGGCGAGGACATGAAATGAAGGGGTCTACAAACATTACATTGGTGACATACTAAGATAATAACAGGCACGCGCTTATTGCCCGCGCTCCATCCAGTTAGTAAGGGGTTGCGCAATCGGAGGGGAGGCTGAGCTCGTCACTGCCTCACCTCTCGTCTCTCCCTGTATTTGCAGCGGAGCTCCGCAAATTTGGCGATTGACTATAAAAATGATTGGAATCGTACAGAAATGACATTTATAACACAGATCAATGGAAAAATCTTGATATTTATTTTACTTAATTCTTTTTTTTTTACTTTTCGTAACAGCTCCTTTCATTGGAGCATGTCAGGTGAGGCACTGCCTCCCCTGCCTCCCCTGACCGCACGTCCCTGGTGTGTGTGTGTGGGGGGGTTGTATGGTGTGTACATGGCACGATGCGTGTGCCGTGTGTGCAGGTGCTGGAGGGTTGCCGCGTGCTGGATCTGCCGGCGAGCCGGGCCGGCGGCGCGGTGCTGGTGCGGCGCTCGGCGGGGGCGGTGGAGGTGTCGGGGCCGCGGGGAGCCGTGCTGCGCTGTGACACGGAGAGCCGCGTGTGCAGCCTCACGCTCGCCTACTGGGACCACGGTGAGCTGCCCTCGCCACGCTCACCACACGGCCCTCGCCACGCTCACCACACGACCCTCGCCACGCTCACCACACGACCCTCGCCATGCTCACCATCTCTGTGGTTGATGTTGATGTAGTTGTCTCGGTGCTGGTGGTTGATGGCTATGTGTGTGTGGTTCATTGTGGATTGTGGTGGATTATGGTTGATGGCTCTCTCTCTGGGTGGTGATCGTGGGTGATTGTGGGTGATCGTGGTTCATTGTGGATGATCGTGGTTGATGGTGGGTGATCGTGATTGATTGTGGGTGATCGTGGTTGATGGTGGATGTTCGTGGTTGATTGTGGGTGATTGTGGTTGATCGTGATTGATAGTGGTTGATCATGGGTGATTGTGGTTGATCGTGGTTGAGGTGGTTGATGGTGCTTGATCGTGGGTGGTCGTGATTGATCGTAGTTGATAGTGGTTGATCGTGGGTGATTGTGGTTGATCGTGGTTGATGGTGGTTGATCGTGGTTGATCGTGGGTGGTCGTGGGTGATCGTGGTTAATAGTGGTTGATGGTGGGTGAATGTGGTTGATGGTGGTTGATGGTGGTTGATGGTGGTTGATTGTGGGTGATCGTGGTTGATAGTGGGTGATCGTGGGTGATCGTGGTTGATGGTGGGTGATCGTGGGTGATCGTGGTTGATCGTGGTTGATAGTGGTTGATCGTGGTTGATGGTGGGTGATCATGGTTGATTGTGGGTGATCGTGGTTGATGGTGGGTGATCGTGGGTGATCGTGGTTGATGGTGGTTGATTGTGGTTGATGGTGGGTGATCGTGGTTGATGGTGGGTGATTGTGGTTAATAGTGGTTGATCGTGGTTGATTGTGATTGATGGGGGGTGATCGTGGTTGATAGTGGGTGATCGTGGGTGATCGTGGGTGATCGTGGTTGATGGTGGGTGATCGTGGTTGATGGTGGGTGATTGTGGTTATTAGTGGTTGATCGTGGTTGTTAGTGGTTGATCATGGTTGATTGTGGGTGATTGTGGGTGATCGTGATTGATTGTGGGTAATCGTGGGTAATTGTGGGTGATCGTGGGTGATCGTGGTTGATAGTGGTTGATCGTGGTGGATAGTGGGTGATCGTGGTTGATTGTGGATGATCGTGGTTGATGGTGGTTGATCGTGGTTGATGGTGGGTGATAGTGTTTCGATTTAAAGCTTTCGTGACTGCAGGGATTCATCTTCTTGGTTTTTTCGGAAAAGTCACGTAGAAGGGAAGTAATAAAATAATAAAAATAAAACATAACAAAATAAAATAATTCTCACGACGTTTCGGCCACAACGCAAGCAGCCATCTTCAGGTGAAGAATGAGACACTGCCAAGCTAGGAGCTTATATATAAGCTGGGTTGGAGGTGGAAGAAGAGCGCCTTAACAAAAAGAATGTGCATATCAAGAGGAATTTAGCATATTCATGGGAAATGCGTAGGAGGTGGGCGGGGGGGTTTCAAAGTCATATTGTGCCCATGCATTATGCAGGATCAGCAGCACCAAGGGAGGGTGCAGGGAGTAGCATTAACAAAGGAAAGGAATGTGATGGCTGGTTGTATGGAATTGATGTGGTCGAGAAATTGGTCTAGAGCAGGCCGGCCATGTGGCCAGATGACAAAAGTGTCGTCTACGTACCTCTTCCATAAGGTCGGGCGTAGAGTGGCAGTCTGGATGGCGTCAGTCTCAAATTTCTCCATGAAGATGTTGGCTACAATCGGGGATAGGAGGGAGCCCATTGGGGTGCCCTCAGTTTGCTTGTAGGGTGGTTGTATAGGGTGGTTTATAGCAATACAGTATATAATTTAATGTTGGGTTTATCTATGGCAGTATATAGTACGGTGTATGCTCGTGTGATGTAAGAGAATAAAGTTTAGATGGAAGCATATTATATAATTTTTACGACGTAGAATTGTAATGTATTACTTGCTGTTAGTAACTCAGCTTATTGTAGAGTATAGTAAGTATACTGATGATGCTATGCAGTTTATACTTTAGTATTTTATGTAGTTTATACTTTAGTTTTCTACGTGGTTGTTTAGTAACTGCAGCTACATACTATTAACATTCCTTTCCTTTGGTAATGCTACTCCCTGCACCCTCCCTTGGTGCTGCTGATCCTGCATAATGCATGGCACAATATGACTTTGAAACCCCCCCGCCCACCTCCTACGCATTTCCCATGAATATGCTAAATTCCTCTTGATATGCACATTCTTTTTGTTAAGGCGCTCTTCTTCCACCTCCAACCCAGCTTATATATAAGCTCCTAGCTTGGCAGTGTCTCATTCTTTACCTGAAGATGGCTGCTTGCGTTGTGGCCGAAACGTCGTGAGAATTATTTTATTTTGTTATGTTTTATTTTTATTATTTTATTACTTCCCTTCTACGTGACTTTACCGAAAGAACCAAGAAGATGGTTGATAGTGGTTGATGGTGGTTGATTGTGGGTGATTGTGGGTGATTGTGGATGATTGTGGTTAATGGTGGTTGATGGTGGGTGATCGTGGTTGATTGTGGTTGATGGTGGGTGATTGTGGTTAATGGTGGTTGATGGTGGGTGATCGTGGTTGATTGTGGTTGATGGTGGGTGATCGTGGTTGATAGTGGTTGATGGTGGGTGATCGTGGGTGATGGTGGTTGATGGTGGGTGATCGTGGTTGATGGTGGTTGATCGTGGTTGATGGTGGGTGATCGTGGTTGATTGTGGCTGATCGTGGTTGATAGTGGGTGATCGTGGGTGATTGTGGTTGATTGTGGGTGATCGTGGTTGATTGTGGGTGATCGTGGTTGATAGTGGTTGATGGTGGGTGATCGTGGGTGATTGTGGTTGATTGTGGGTGATCGTGGGTGATGGTGGGTGATGGTGGGTGATGGTGGGTGAACGTGGGTGATCGTGGGTGATAGTGGTTGATTGTGTGTGATTGTGGGTGATTGTGTGTGATTGTGGGTGATCGTGGTTGATTGTGGGTGATCGTGATTGATAGTGGTTGATGGTGGATGATCGTGGGTGATTGTGGTTGATTGTGGGTGATCGTGGGTGATCGTGGTTGATGGTGGGTGATAGTGGTTGATTGTGTGTGATTGTGGGTGATTGTGTGTGATTGTGGGTGATCGTGGGTGATCGTGGGTGATCGTGGGTGATTGTGGGTGATCGTGGGTGATGGTGGGCGATCGTGGGTGATTGTGGTTGATTGTAGGTGATCATGGTTGATTGTGGGTGATCGTGGTTGATAGTGATTGATCATGGGTGGTCGTGAGTGGTCGTGGGTGATCGTGGTTAATAGTGGTTGATGGTAGGTGATTGTGGTTAATGGTGGTTGATGGGGTTTGATTGTGGTTGATGGTGGATGATCGTGGTTGAAGGTGGTTGATGGTGGGTGATCGTGGTTGATGGTGGTTGATGGTGGTTGATGGTGGTTGATGGTGGGTGATCGTGGTTGATGGTGGTTGATTGTGGGTGATTGTGGGTGATCGTGGTTGATCGTGATTGATAGTGGTTGATAGTGGTTGATTGTAGGTGATTTTGGTTGATCGTGGTAGATGGTGGTTGATCGTGGGTGATTGTGGGTGATTGTGGATGATTGTGGTTAATGGTGGTTGATGGTGGGTGATCGTGGTTGATTGTGGTTGATGGTGGGTGATCGTGGTTGATTTTAGTTGATGGTGGGTGATGGTGGTTGATGGTGGTTGATGGTGGGTGATCGTGGTTGATGGTGGTTCATCGTGGTTGATGGTGGGTGATCGTGGTTGATAGTGAGTGATTGTGGGTGATTGTGGTTGATTGCAGGTGATCTTAGTTGAGTGTGGGTGATCGTGGTTGATAGTGGTTGATGGTGGGTGATTGTGGGTGATTGTGGTTGATTGTGGGTGATCGTGGGTGATGGTGAGTGATGGTGGGTGATGGTGGGTGATGGTGGGTGATAGTGGTTGATTGTGTGTGATTGTGGGTGATTGTGGTTGATTGCGGGTGATCGTGGTTGATTGTGGGTGATCGTGGTTGATAGTGGTTGATGGTGGGTGATTGTGTGTGATTGTGGGTGATTGTGGGTGATTGTGGGTGATTGTCGATGATTGTGGATGATTGTGGTTGATTATGGGTGATCGTGGTTGATTGTGGGTGATCGTGGTTGATGGTGGATGTTCGTGGTTGATTGTGGGTGATTGTGGTTGATCGTGATTGATAGTGGTTGATCATGGGTGATTGTGGTTGATCGTGGTTGAGGTGGTTGATGGTGCTTGATTGTGGGTGGTCGTGATTGATCGTAGTTGATAGTGGTTGATCGTGGGTGATTGTGGTTGATCGTGGTTGATGGTGGTTGATCGTGGTTGATCGTGGGTGGTCGTGGGTGATCGTGGTTAATAGTGGTTGATGGTGGGTGAATGTGGTTGATGGTGGTTGATGGTGGTTGATGGTGGTTGATTGTGGGTGATCGTGGTTGATAGTGGGTGATCGTGGGTGATCGTGGTTGATGGTGGGTGATCGTGGGTGATCGTGGTTGATCGTGGTTGATAGTGGTTGATAGTGGTTGATCGTGGTTGATGGTGGGTGATCATGGTTGATTGTGGGTGATCGTGGTTGATGGTGGGTGATCGTGGGTGATCGTGGTTGATGGTGGTTGATTGTGGTTGATGGTGGGTGATCGTGGTTGATGGTGGGTGATTGTGGTTAATAGTGGTTGATCGTGGTTGATTGTGATTGATGGGGGGTGATCGTGGTTGATAGTGGGTGATCGTGGGTGATCGTGGTTGATGGTGGGTGATCGTGGTTGATGGTGGGTGATTGTGGTTATTAGTGGTTGATCGTGGTTGTTAGTGGTTGATCATGGTTGATTGTGGGTGATTGTGGGTGATCGTGATTGATTGTGGGTAATCGTGGGTGATTGTGGGTGATCGTGGGTGATCGTGGTTGATAGTGGTTGATCGTGGTGGATAGTGGGTGATCGTGGTTGATTGTGGATGATTGTGGTTGATGGTGGTTGA